CTAATTGAGAAATTGGGATATTTAAAGGGAAAGTTCACAAAAAAAATGTCTGAATTTAAATTTTTTGGGTGAATTGTGCTCTTAGTTAGTTGCATATTAAATGTAAGTGTTCATTTGGTCCAGTCATGCAATATGACATATGCAATAAAAAATCAGTAGACCAGCATGGTGTTTTAAATAAGTGGTTTGGAAAAGTACATTTTGAAGATCTATCTGCAGTTTCTGGCAACAACACTGAGACATGAAACAGCCTGTTAAAGTCTAGTCTTCTTAATATATAATTTATATAAAGTGTTTAATTTGGCTTGGATATATTGTTGTTGTTTTATTTGTTATTATAGTTATTTTGGGATAGATAGATAGATATCCTTTAAAAAGAAGAGGCTATATTCTTCATTAGCCAGCCACCAATCAAATGTTTTGCAGCCTATTTTACTTTTATGTAACCAACAGATTCTTTTAAATTATGAGTTTATTCATATTTCCTAATTATCTGACAATTATAAACTCACCAAGCACGTTTCTAAAAGATAAAGCCAAGTGTCATGTTCTTTCTACAGTATATTCTCTGGACGGTGGTCATGTGAAACATGACGCACGCTCGTAGGACGACGCTTTGCTCTAGTTTAACGTCTGTAAAGGTGTGGGTTCATTTCCTGACCCTTTCCGCGCGTGCAGCATCATCTCCTCACAGGCTGTTGCATCCTCCTGAGGGACCGTCGGCGCTCTTCACAGCCTGCACACTACATACCGGTCTCTGATTCGCAATCTGGGTAATGCCACTCATTCATTTGCGAGCTTGGATGTGCTATATTGTCTCTCACAGCATACACGCGGCTGTTCGCAGGGATACTACGGAATTACAGCCGCAACAAATGATGTGACGGCCATCCATTCAGATAATAAAAACTGTGCTGTGGACGCTGCATTTCTGCTAACGAAGCAAAGCCTTAGACGAGCCTTTCCCAGACGAACAGATACAGTAGTGTAACTGACAAGCAACAGTCATTTGGAATAATACCCTGCACACTGCATTACAAACATTCTGGGAGGAGGACAAACAGGTTTTAAGGTAACTGAGATGTCCTTCCATATGAGTAGACATGCACTTGTGCTGAGTTGGTTTGATTTGGATTTTGCAGTGTAATGTAAGTGTTGAAGTGCCTATTCAATCTGTAAATGTATCAGGTTATGAATCTTGGTACATGCTCTTTTTCTGCATGAATTAAAAAAAAATCATTCTTACACACATATAGTAGTAAGCAAGCATGCAACAGCCATGAAAGTGGGATCACTATTCAGAACCACTGGACACAATACATTTGTGACCCTGGACCACAAAACCAGTTTTAAGTCGCTGGGGTA